TCCGAAGGGCTGAGTGTCAGAGGGGAGTATTTTTTAAAGTTTGTTTTTTGGTCCCCTGTAGATAATTTCCTTGAGATCACTAACACACAAACGCAGTTTCGTGACTACTGTGAATCAGGGAGAGCTGCGTTTCCCATAAAAAGGCGCTCCTCTGTTCACTGGCTGTGAAAGGTGCGTGTGTGCGCGCCTCTGTGAGTGTTGGCTTTAAAAGGGTCCTCAGCCCATCCTGAATTGGGTGCCTGAACTTGATTAACGTGGGATGAACTCATTAAATTTGGTTCGGGCCTGAGCATTGATCTCCTAGGACGTGGATGGAGAAACTGGGGACACCGGCAACAAGGCAGGGAAAGGCCTGAAATCACAGCTTTGCTCCCAGCAGCTGCTTTTTGTGCTGGAGGATGGTGCCATCCCCTGGCTGTCTCACTGGTGACGGGCTGCACGTCCCACCCCGGGAAGGGCTGTGCTGGCTCCCCGGAGTGTCATGAAGCCTCCCTGGGCACCAAACGCCCCAGACAGAGCAAACTACCGGCCTGAGCAGCCTCCCAGGGACACGCCTCCTTGTCTGATAGCACGGAGGGTACAGAAATCATCGCTGTCAAGCGGCTGCTTCTCAGATGCTGCTGAGACCCTCTGATCCTGTTAACTTGGAGGAAAGAAGTGCCTCTTTTGAATGAGGGTTTAACCCTCAGCCAACTCCAGTCTCCTTCCCAAAGACTGAGAAAGCCCCAGCCTCTAAAGGGTGTCTTAAAAAAAGAAAAAAGAAAAAAAAAAAATCCAAGTCTGCTATAAAAATCAGGGCAACAGGTGCTAGAGGGTATTGGTTGTGGATAAGCTTTCCTGTTTCTTTCTTCAAGTTCTCTCTCCCAGGTGGTAGGTCTGCTAAACTTTTGGTTCAGCTAATCCTCCTAGTCCCCCCCACTGCCTTTTTGCCCATGCTATCCCATTCCTGTCCCCTATGTATGAACAGAAGATGACTTTTGGCATTAAAAAAGCCAGACGAAAAGGATCTTAAACATTCCTGGGAGAAATGACATGCCTCTGCTGATATGCTCCCCGCTGTTAGCTGCCAGC